CATGGTGGCTAACACTTGCAATCCCAGTACTTTAAGGGGTCGAGGCAGGCGGGCCACTTGAGGCCAGGAGACTGAGGCTGAAGTGAGCTATAAGTTGCCTGGGTAACTTAGTGGGACACTGTTTCTCCAAAGATAAAAAATAAAAATTTAAAAAATGATACTGTTCACTTTTAGGAGAGAACAAAAAAGCCATGTCTTCGGTAGAAAGATAAGAAAATGAAATGTAAAGTAGCTTCAACTACATATGAAAACATTTTTTTCCTCAAGATAAAGTTTTTCAGTGCTTTAAAATAAATAAGCCAACAGTGGCCCTATTTTTTAAATTCTCTTTTTAACCCACATGAGGATCGGCATTCCTCAACTCTAGTGTATTTCATGACCAATAAGTTTTTATTTTTTGTTTTTTTTAAAGAGGCAGGGTCTTGCTAGGCTGCCCAGGCTGGTCTCAAACTCCTAGCTTCAAGCAATCCTCCCTCTTTGACCTCTCAACATGCTGGAATTACAGCTGTGAGCCTCCGCATCCAGGTCCAACATGTTTTTTATCTATTTTGTATCTTATCAGAAATTTTTTAATGTTCTGATTTAGTAGTTCCCCACCTCAATTTCCAGCTCTGCTGTGAATATTATTTTTATGTCTTTTGCCATTTCAGTGAGTTTTGTGAGAAAGAAGAAATAAACAGGTATGTGCATTTACTCACTCATTCTGAACTAGAACTCTTCAAGAGACTTCTCCTTGTAGCTTGACTACAAATCTCCATTTATACTGCTCTAAAATTTATTTCATTACTCTATAACTGCTCAAAACTTTAAAAGACCTCAGAGAGACATCACATTGTCTAGTTCACCCTCTAGGAACACAGTTAAACTGTTACTTTCAGTTATTAAAAATCATTCATTCTTCCCTTTAAAATCTTTTACTTTTTTAGTTAGGGGTCTCACTCTGTCACCCAGGATAGAGTGCAGTGGCACACTCATGGCTCACTGCAGCCTCTACCTCGTAGGCTCAGACAATCCTTCCGCCTCAGTCTCCTGAGTAGCTGGATCTACAGCTGCGCGCTGCTGCGCGCCACTACACTCAGCTAATCTTTTGATCTTTTGTAGAGACAAGGTCTCACTATTTTGCCTAGGCTGGTCTTGAACTTGTGGGCTCAAGCAATCCTCCTGCTTCAGCCTCCCAAAGTGCTGGGATTACAGGCATGAGCCACTGTGCCCGACCCTTTGAAATCTTTACATTTAAAAGTTCTAGAGTCCTTTAGTGGCCTCTCCAGTGTCTATTTCCTCAGTCACATGATTATTTCTTAAGATCCAATTATTATTATTATTTTTATTGAACTGGGGTCCACTCTGTTGCTCAAGATGAAGTGCAGAATTGGGATCACAGCTCATTGCAGCCTCTACCTCCTGGCACCAGGTGATCCTTCTGCCTCAGCCTCCTGAGTAGTTGAAATCAGGGACATGCACCACCACACCCGGCTAATTTTTTTTTGCAGAGATGAGTGAGGTCTTGCTATGTTGCCTAGGATGGTCTTGAACTCCTGAGCTCAAGCAATCCTCCTGCCTCATCCTCCCAATGTGCTGGGGGCATGAACCACCACACCTGGCCCAATTATTCATTCTAAATAGCCTCTTCAGGTATCTGTGAACATATTCATCTCAAATAAAAGTTGGTGCCTTAAAGTTTAAAATCTACTGGCCTAGTTCAATCTCCACTTTTTATAGATGAGAAAAGTAAAGCCCAGAGGATTCTAAGAATCTTTCTCTGTAACATTCCCTATTATTATTTGTGTTACTGGTCTGTCTGCTTTAAAACAGTATTTTCTGTTTTGGGGTGACAATTCTTCACTGTGTTTATTTTTTGAATTTTAATCATTATAATCCTTTGCTTCTGACTAATGAATTCATTCTGGTTTATGAGGCATAAAAAAATTCTGACAACTGATGCAGTAGGTTCAGAATTCATGTCATTTATATGTGGCAGTAAACTCCATAAAAAATATTGCTCCAGGGCAACCTCTTCAGGTCCCCTCCCATTGTGGGAACTTTCTGTCCTCTCAATAAATTGTGCTTTCTAAAAAAAGAAGAAAGAAAGAATTTGCTCCCAGTTAATGTATCTAACCAACACTGAAGGCCGAAACAGGAGCCACAGTTAATGTATCTAACCAACACTGAAGGCCAGAAACAGGAGCCACAGTTAATGTATCTAACCAACACTGAAGGCCGAAACAGGAGTCTGACTCGATTTTAGCAACATCACAACCTAGAGGTGCTTGCTACCTACCCGCACTATTTTTCAGCACACAGTAGTGTGCCAGTTGTTTGAAGGTGAGAACTAAATATAGAGACATTCACTTTAGAAACAAATTACACGTTACCTGTAAAAGCACTATCCTAAACACATATGTGTTTTGTGATTATCTGTGCATTTCAGAAATTGAAGGACTAGCTGATCTGGAAGTTCTTTGGCCTGAAAGCATTGCTTTTGTCCTTTGAACTTTAATGATCGTTGAATTCAAATTTCTTCCATGAAAATCTATTCTAAAAATAACCAACTTGTACTTTTGAGAGGGTTCATTCTACATTAATCAAACATTTTACCTGAGAGTCCAATGGTACATTGTATACTTCTGCATCCAGCAAAACAGTACAAGCACTAAATGGCAGTGTTTGATTTGCCAGTGTTCTTGCAGCTCTGTAATGAACGCGTAGAACTTCCTGCTCATTGGATACAATAAGTTTTTCCTAGTTGAACAAAGAATTTTAAAAAAATGAATTCTTCAACAAATTGTTTTTGAAATATGGTAAAATAACTTATATGCTAACAAACATGAACCTCAGAGTAGCTTTTTAAAACTTAATATTAGGGTTGAGAAATGTGAGAACGTCTAGTGTTTCTAAAGTATAAATAAATGTTCTTTCCCAAACTGGCAGCTTTTAAAAAATTAGATTTTAAAGTACAGTGGTAAACAATAGTGGCTTTTAGCGTATCTATCAAGATGTTTCACCATCACTAATTCTAGAACATTTTCATCACTCCAAAAGAAATCCTGTACCCATTAACAGTCACTCTCCATCCTCCCCTTCCTCTATCTCCTGGCAACAACTAATCTGTCTTCTGGCTCTATGAATTACTAACCCGAACATTAATGGTGAATGAAACCATACAATAGGGGGCCTTTCATGACTAGCTTCATTCACTTAGCATGATTTCAAAGTTTATCCATGTTGTTGCATGCATAATACTTTAATTCTATTTTATGGCTGAATAACATTCCACTGCATGGATATATTTCATTTTATTTATCATTCACCAGTTGATGGACATTTGGGTTTGAAGGGAAATAGAAGATGCCACCCCCAAAATATGCCACTTTAGCATAAGGATTATTTTGAGCTAAAGGCACTTGAAATGCAGCAGGTGCAAGAGTGCTGACCTCCCCTTTTCTTCCTGAAAGGAGGAGATCAAACTCCCATGTGAAAGATGCCCTTCCCGTACTAGAAGGAAAGAAATATTTTTATCACCAGAGACAGGAAGTCAAGGCCTGCCTGTACAAACAGCACTTATTAGAGTAACTTTCGTCTTCTGTGAGCCTCCCCATATATTTTAGTTAATTTTCCACAATTGCCTTTCTTTCTTCAACCTATCATAAAAAAAATTTAGATTTTGTCACTTCTTTGGTTTCCCATTTCCTTATGACGGCCCCCGTGTCATGTAAACTTATATTAAATAAATCTGTACATTTTCCTCTTGCTAATTTATCTTTGACAATTTAATTCTCAAGCCCAGATGGAGACCTTAACTTATTCGCGACCAATGACATGAATTTACGGCATTCCAAATTCTGTTCCTGGTTGCTGCTAATGTGAATTTACCTCATCGTGGAAGACTGTCTTTTGGGTTTATAATACAAATAAAAATACAAAGTATAGAATGTTAGAGTGGTGTGTTGAGGCAAATACTGGATATGTCTACAATTTTCAGACACGTTGGGAAAAAGGTGACAATTTAGAAAAGACCGTTTCATTTGTGCTTAACAACAGAAGTCTGAGGCAACCAGGTTCAGAAGTCTGAGGCAACCAGGTTCAGATTTTTTTAATTTTTACTCACTCTCAGGATTAGGAAGGCGAAAAATTTGCCAGTCGTGAATGTGTTTAACACGGTAGAGGTAATTCTTGCCTTTCCTATGTGTTGTTTTCACTTTTGGGATAATATAAAAAAATGTTGCTATAAACATGCACACTCAAGTTTTTGTCTGGGTGCATGTTTTCATTTCTCTTCGGAAAATAATTAGGAATGGGATCCTCGGTCATAGAGCAATTATCTTTAACTTGTTGAGGAAGTGCCAAACTGTTTCCCACCAGCAATGTTATGGTTCCAATTTCTTCACATTCTAGCCAATACTTGTTATGTCTGTCTTTTTTATTATAGCGGTATGAAGTGGTATCTCCTTGTGGTGGCAGCTTCTCTTTTATAATAAATATTTTCATAGAAATAAACGTACTTTACATCGATGCCATCTACTTGCAAACCTCTGACAATCACAATAAAATCCTGCCTTAATGCATTAAGTGGGGTCCAAAACTTCTAATTATTTGAGATGCAGAGTCACTCAACCATACAGTTATGAATCCTATGAATTTTATTTTATTCACTGAAAACCTTCCAAGAAGAGGTTCCAAATTTCCCACACTGTTACAGGGGTACACAATACAGAAAGGCAGAGAACTCTGCCAGGGCAATGGATCATGTATGAATCAAATAAATTACATACAAGATCTTGTTTGCATATGAATATGTTTGTATCTCTGCAAAGAAGGATCATAGCTTATACCACATTTTCAGAGGTCCCTGACCCTCCCAAAGGATTAAGAAAGTCATATATTTTTGTGATTCCAAGTGAAATGCCTTCTATGATTTCTATAAATAGCTAGATAGGTTTTTTTCCCTGTCATTTCATGACAAGACCAACCACTGGGAAACCAGATACTAAGGAGACCTCGCAGGTCAAATAAGAACAACCTCTGTAAGTATTTTGTCCTTTAGCCCTAAAATAGTGGGTACCAAGCAACTGATTTCACAATGGGGAAATCCAAATGTCCCACGACAAATCCACTGCTATGGTCTTAGAGATAAAAAATTATTAGAGACTTTTATATATTAAAAATATCTTCAACATGAATTCTATTATGACAGCAACTATCCTAAAATAGGCTTAAAAATTCTCCATGTAATTGGATAAGCACAGGCTAGGCATGGTGACTCACACCTGTAATCCAGCACTTTGGAAGGCCAAGGCAAGAGGACAGTTTGAGCATAGGAGTTCAAGATCAGCCTAGGCAACACAGTGAGACCTTGTCTCTACAAAAAATTTAAAGATTAGCCAGGTGTGGTGGTGTGCACCTTTAATCCTAGCTACTCAGGAGGCTGAGGTGGAAGGACTGCCTGAGCCCAGGAGGTCGAGGCTGTAGTGAGTCATGAGTGTGTCTCTGTATTCCAGCCTGGGTGACAGAGTGAAACTCCAACTCCAAAACAACAACAACTACCCCCCGCAAAAAAAACTCCAAAAACTGAATTAGCACAAGAAAAAAATCAAACCATTTCCCAAAATGATTCTAAATATTGTTAAAATACAGTTATTTTTTAGTGTAAGTGTAAATTTAAATACCTCTTACCCTTTCAATACTGTGTTGCAAACGTAGTTTCATTCTTACAACTTCCTGTTGCCGAAAAAGTTCTTTAAGTGGATCTGACAGTGAAGGCGGTGGTGTAATCTAATTGAAAAAAAATAGTTAAAAACATCAGGTTTCTTTTACAATAGTGGGCTATTCTTTTAAAAGTACATCTTTTCAGTGCTTAAATCAATTCTAATATTCTGTGAATTAAATAATATAGTATCAATTATACAACTGGATGTTACTTTTCAATTTTGTTTGAAACATAGGAGAGTATTCCTGCAAGCTTAAATATTTTTATTCGGAGGCCACAGCAAATTTCAAAGAGCAAATTAGAAGGACTAAGGAAGCTACTCACTATGGAGACACATTTTAGAACATCAATGACAGCTCACAGACAGGAAGGGAGAAGTAACAAAAAACAGAAAAGTTGGTATAAACACGGAGGAAACACTCCTAAAGATTAAAGCAGTCCAAATGTATCAGTATATATACATATTGCAGACATGATATAAATTAAACACTAAGGTCCTGAGTGTTGTATTTAGTGAATTATTTTATAAAAGTAGATTAAAGGGTCTAATTTGTGGTTCTCACATTTCTTTATTACATGCGATATCCCACATGACTTTGTTTAGCCATACTCCAAAAAGCTTATGAACATCTCTAATTCGACATTATACTGGACTGTACTTTCTGGTAGATGCTGGAAGAATGCTGACTCGATCTCTGCATGCAGTTTACTGTTAAAATAGACATCCAAGCAATGGTAATAGCCATCTCTGTCCCTTGGAGTATCTACATTCCCACTCTCCCATCCTTATTTACAACTGCTATCAGCATATGCGGGCAAAAATATCTCAGTATGTTTTTATTTAACAAGACTTGCAGAGAGTGGTGCTATTGTTTTAGTTCTGCAAAATCATACAGGCCTCTAGCTAATTCAAGCACAGAGGAAAAGAAGTAGTCTGATCTGAGACTGAGGTGTCAGAGAAAGCTTCCTCAAGAGAGTAGTACCTGAGCTGCACCTTAAAGGGAGAGCCAGAGTAGAGTCAGAGAAATTAGTCACTGTGAGGAGAAAGGGGGAAAAAAAAGGAAAGAAAGGAGGGAGGCAATTCCCAGAAGATAGGATGGCATGATCAAAGTCATAAAATGAAGAGTACATCATCTGCAGACAACCACAAGCAGTCTTAAGTTCCTACAACATCAGATTTGACAAAAAGAAGCTTGTAGTTTAATCTAGAAATGTGTTTTTAATAAAAAGTATGTTCTATAGAAGATTAGGCCCACAAAGAAGATTTACAGGAAATGGTTCCAAAAACAAGTTTGGAAAACAACGTATACATGTACCTACTTAGAAGTCTCACAATTAACATATTAAAGGTTCTGATAAGTCCTACAGTGAAGCAACCTATTTTTAGATTAATATTTCTCAAACTAACTTAATAAAAGCCCCCCCAACACAAAAGGTATTTAATTAACATGCTGTGGAAGAGATATTATATAGAATACATTGGAGAGTTTGGTAATAGACCAAAAGAGGACAGAGAGAAGAGAAGAAGGTTTTTGGTTGAGTTCAGAGCTGACCTAAGTTTGTGAAGCTTATGGACATTCAGGAAGAGCTACGCAGGTAGCAAAAAAAAAAAAAAAGGAAGTCAGGGAGAGAGATTTGGGCAGAAATATAAACTTGGAAATTAACATAAATCACATGTAGAAAAGAGGTAAAATCACCAAATGGGTATATGAAGATTTTTTTCAATTAAAAAAAATTTTGTTCCAATACAAATTAACCCCTTAGAATATGGTGTAGTAGAAAATTTTTTTAATTACTTAAAAAAATGTTTTACATACTTTCTAACTAGCTTAACTTTGTAAGATGTTTTTCTCTTGTGATGTACCCTTAAAATTTTTCCTGCTTAATTTTTTGTTTTATAGCTGTGGGCTACATGTGAGGATTTACTACATAATTGCATGCAGGGAGGTATGGGCTTCTAGTGCATCCAATGTATATGCCCCTCTCTCCCTCCTTCCTCTAGCAGTGTCCAGCAACTGTGGTTCCCACCTTTGTGCTTGTGTGTCCAGTGATTAGGGCCCACTTATGAGTGAAAACATGTGGTATTCAGTTTTTTTCTGTGACAATTCACTTAGAATGATGGTCTCCAGCTGCATTATATGGAAACTTTTTGAGAAAACTTCCCTTTTGCTGTTTTCATCTACCTCTAAGTAAATCAAGTTTGGTTATTTTGTCAGTATCTGTTGAGTTTCAAGATCCTGGAACTTCCCAGAGATGTGCTCTCCTCTTATCACCCACTCTTGGAATCCCTCAAGACATCTGTAGAGTATGTTGTTACCAGTGGCCAGCCACAGTAGATCCTAGGTTGTGACAAGTCTCTTTTTTCCCCCTCCCTGTTCATTTGATTTTGGTGATATGACCAGCAGTTTTATTTTTCTTCCTTTGATTTCCTCTGGAAAAATGGCAAGCCTGGTTAAACTGTGAGAAAAAATATGTAATGAAGAATAAACATTGAAATACACTCTGGTGTCATTTTCTTTTTAAACTACATTTCTGATGGGTTTTATAACCAGATCACATAAATGTAAGGAAAGGTTACTTTGATAAAATGGCAATTAGTTGGCTGGAAGGAAACAAATGGATAAAGCCATATAGGAAAGTAAGAAAATTAATGCAGTGCCTAACTCATTTAAGTTATTCTGGTATTAATTTTTTCCAACTAAATTTTGAACAAAAAAAAATTTGGCCCAGTAAACTCAAATGCAAAACTTTTCATGAAAAGACTGGAGTTCACATATTAGCTTTAATAAATACAAATTTTAAAGTCACTTGGAGCTGTGTAAAATAATGGTAATCCCTTAAATCTGTATAGTGTTCTAAAGTTTTTAATGTGCTTTAGCATATACCATTTCAATCTTCTTTGAGACAGGGTAGACACTATTCTCCCTTTACAGATGTGGAAACTAAGTATCAGAGATATGAGTGAATTATTCAAGATCACACAGCTGGTTTATCAGCAAAATCTAGACTTAAACTTATGCATGCTAATTGGAAATCTAGTGTTCTTTCCACTATATTGCGGTGTTTCTCTGCTTTCTTCATTCTCATTAAAAACGAAAAATTCAAAGACCTCCCTACTACATCCAGAAATATTGCTCAGCTTTGCTTATAGCCCCTTATGAAATGGTATTTGATACAACTAAATTCTAATATAATCAAAGACATATACCCAGCATTGCTTTAAGGGACTCAAACTTGTATTACACTGCCTTTGCAGGAATAAGAAAAGGTGACAGATAGCACATGTATGACATATATATGTATATATATGTATATACGTATGTATACATGCATATATGTGAGTATGTATACAACACACATGCACTCATACAGTCTATATATGTAACAAATATAAAGGCAATATTAAAAAACATATATAAAGTCAACAGACAGACTGTGTTAGGGTAGCAACCTAACAATTTATCTGAAATTGTTTTTACTAAATAGTCTGTGTAAATTCTAATTTCAATGTATTCTTTATAGTATACCTGTATTTCAAGCCTCTGAAAATACATTTGATTTCAAAGGGAAATAAAGCAGAGGGATAAAAGAAACAAGAAAGTTACCAGCTTTACATTCTTTGACTTATTAACAAACAATTTTGCTGAAAGACAACTTTATTTACAACTCTTATTTTTACTTTTGTTGAGACTGAGTTTCACTCTGCTGCCCAGGCTAGAGAGTAGTGGCACAATCACGACCCACCACAGCCTTGATCTCCTGGACTCAAGCAATTCTTTCGCCTCAGCCTCCAAAAGTAGCTGGGACTACAGGCATGCTTCACCATGCCGGGCTAATTTTTTTTTCTTTTTTTGTAAAACGAGGTCTCCCTATGTTGCCCAGGCTGATCTTGAACTGCTGACCTCAAGTAATCCTCCAGTCTCAGCCTCCCACACTGGGATTTCAGAAGTGAGCCACCACACGCAGCCATACTTTTTCTTTTTTGAGTTGGAGTCTCCCTCTGTCGCCCAGACTGGAGTGCAGTGGCTGCTCCCGGCCACCACAGCCTCGCCTGCTGGGCTCCGGCAATCCTTCCACCTCAGCCTTCCGAGTAGCCGGAATTACAGGCATGCGCTACCACACCCGGCTGATTTTTTAATTTATTGTAGAGATGAGGTCTCACTGCCCAGGCGGGTCTCGAACCCGCGGACTCAGGCCATCCACTCACCTCAGCCTCCCAAAGGCGCGGGATTACAGGCTGAGCCACCGAGCCCAGCCACAGTTCTTATTTTTAATCTACTATTACTGCCATCTAAATCTGTCTTTTGAAGAGATTCAAAAAGCACTAGCATCAGATACATTCTGTGAATGTGGCACTAAAACAAAAAAACTTTCTTCTAACTTTTTAAAATATTTTCTGAACTGGACTTTCAAAGAAGGAACATCTGTGAAACAGCACAGAATAGGCACAGGATTCCAAGGAGAGATAGAAGGGGTGGTAACTAGCACCAAGTCTAGAAAAGTATGAGAAGGCTCTTGAATACAATAAAGAACAGGGTGTTTCTAGCCTATAGGAAATGAAAAGTCTCTGAAGATGTTTAACCCAGTGGTCACATAATCAGATCTGCGATGTGTACTGAACTCAGATAGTAAGAAGGCTAAACTGAGACTAGAGAAGGACTAGAAACCTATGGCAGCAATTCAGAATGCCTGTTTTGCCTCTCTCTGCTATCTAGCTACTTGCACGGTGCTTAGCAGTTATGAAATATCTGCCAGTGCAATATGAATATATGAATATGAATATTTAAGAGACAGTCAAAGAAGCTAATGAAGTCCTTGCATGGCAGTGATAACAAAGGGAAAGGAAGTGAGGTGAATGAACATGACTTAGTAAATTATTTGATATGAGGTCAGAGAGGAAGAAATCAAGGTTGAATCTTGGGTCCCAGCCTGGGACATCACATAGCAGATATTAGTAGTAACTAAAGCAAAGAAGGCAAGAAGAGCACTTTTCAGAGAAGATATATGGATTTGGTAGCAGAGACAATGCTTTTAAAGATCTTGCAGGACATTCAGGAGATGTCCAGAAGCAGCATGATTATGGACATCAGTAGTGTATTGAGGGCTGAGATAAATCTGGTACTCATTCTTTTGAGAAATAGTGTCCTAGCCTTTAATCAGATTACAGCTCAGAGGTAGAAGCAGACACGTACAAAATTAACTACATTACAGGGAAGGTACAAAGAAAACACAAGCAATTCTGCTTTGACAAGATTTCCCCCAGAGGTAACATCACAGCTGAAACAAAGGCAGAGAAGAAAAAGGACAGAGAAGGGGAAAGAATAATCATCCAGGTACAGGGAACAAACAGCATTGCAAAGGTTATCAAATGTAGTGAAGTAAAAATTTTTGTAGAAGAGTGAGCTCAGTTTGGCTGAGATACTAGGTGAGTTTGGGAAGAGCAGTGAGAAGATGAAGCTGGAGAGGCAGACTGGGGTCAGACCATGAAATGTATGGTTATGCCATTCTGGCTATTTGAATTTCAAGTTGTAGGCAATGGGAAGTCAGTTCACAACTTAGGAATTTAAATAGGGAAATGGCTTTTTATTGTTTTAAAAAGTGATAGAAATTTAACAACAAAAGATAATGACTCAGCAGAAAGAGACCAGAAGTAAAAATAAAAAGTTGCCACAATGATCTGACAGATAACAAGGGCCCTAACCCAAGACAGCAGTAGAGGGTAAAGATTTTGGAGTTCTGAGGCAGAGTGGTTAGAATTTGGTGACTGCTCATTTTCTACTTTGGTGTCATCATTAATGAATACAGATTTGTTTTTGAGAAAGTGCAGGATAAATGATTCCTTTTGGTACATGTTAAGTTTAAGGTTCTAGTAGAGGAATGAGGTACTCATCCACCAGCTCCTGGGGCATTGGTGGCTGACAGCTCTCACTAGAGTCCCTGTCTAAGAAATTACCTTTCAGGGAAGAGTGCTGGTGTGCCCAAGGGCATGCTCTCCTCCAGGGGAGACCACCTTATCAGAAGGGCTGTCCCACTCTAGAGTTCTTGTGGATTCAGCTGAGGTCACTGCTGCAACTGCATTTTAGTTCAACTTCTCGCTCTGCCCAATTCTGCTTCCCTTGCACACTTACTTATTCCTGATAAAATTCACCAATAAAACTCAAGCACACAATCTACGAAAGGTAGGTGATAATGCCCAGAAAGTACCTATATTTGATTCTGAGGGTCAACAGAGATGACATGGTTAGGTAAGAATTTTGGTGGACTAACTGGCACCTGGAAGACTGCTGAAACCATAGAAATAATTTTCCTATTTCCACATTTGGAAAGCACATAAGGCAAAAAGTCAACTGAAAAATGGGTCACCAGAGAACTCCTGTCTAAAGGGTGGACAAAAAAATATGTCATTAAAAGAGAAAGAAAGGTTAGTCAGTGAGGCAGAGGAATGAGAACAGAGCACCATCATTAAAGACCAGAAAGAGGAGGGTTTTATTAAGTGGTCAGTGTCAAATCTGACAGATTAAATAGAAAGAAAAATGAAAAGATGCCAATAAACCAGGCAGTTATGACCTCAATGGTGATCTCCGCCAGTGCATAAAGGAATGAACAGGAAACATGACAGAGAAAACACACACAGACTACTCTCTAAGAGCATGGGTGAAGGAAAGAGAGACAGCAAGCTTGACGAACTGACATAGTCAAGCGACAACCCTTTTCTTTCCAAGATGGAGGAAACCTAACTATGATCTAATTGAGTGGATAAAAGTCCATAGAGGAAACTGAAAAAATATACTAATGAGAACAGTGTTTCAATAGAGGAAGGTTCCAGAGAACACCAGAAAGAATGGGATCAAAAGCGTATGTGAAAGCATTAGCCTTCAAAGAAATAAAGGCATGCCTCCTTTGAAACAAAATTAAAAGCAGACAAGGAAAGGAAAATACTGTAGACCTCTGATGTCCAGTAAGGCAGCCACTAGCTACACATGGCTGTTGAGCACTTTCTGAAATGTGGCTAGTCTGAATTCAGGTGTGTTGTAAGCACACCAGATTTCAAACTTAGTTTAAAGAAATGTAAAAGATCTCACTGATAATTTTTCTATACTGGTTATATGTTGAAATAGATTTTTGTAGATTGGCTTTAACATTTGTTAATTCTAACTTTACCTGTTTCCTTTTACTTTTAAATATGTGGTTACAAGAAAATTTAAAATTAAGTATATGGCTTGCATTATACTTATTGAACAGCACTATAGATGTGTACCAAGTGATGATGTTACTTACTGTGGGAATACAAATCTTGCTTAAGGGGTTTCCATCCAGGAGATAGGATCCATTAAAGGTTACATATTCATCATAATACTGAGGTGCTTGAGGAATAACACTACACAATAATTTGCGTTTTTCTTCAATTTTTTTCCTTATGTGCAAGTATTCAAAATAAGGATTTGCTCTCTCTGAACTGTACGGTTGAATCTCATCTAGTTTCAGAGAATCTACAATGGCTGCCAGAGACTGCTGAGTTTTTTCTTTCGCTTGTAGTAAAGAGGGACTCACTTGCACAGGCTGAGGGACACGTGACACTTTCCTTTTCCGTGGATGGTGGATTTGAGGATCATCTTCTTCAGTTAATCTTATTCTTCCTCTAGGAGATGAGGATTCACTGTCTTTTTCTGATAATAGTGTACAGCTGGCAAGAATCTGCTTGCTTTGATTTGCCACTGTATTTGCTTTATTTCTAGTCATTCTTTGAGGGATCTGATGTTCATTTTTATCATCTTCAGCATTTTCTTCTAATTCTACTTTAACGAATTGACCATATTTATGTATTTCTTGTTGAGCTGACTGCTGTGAATGGTTTTCCAGATTTGATAAAATGCTTTGTTGAGATTCTTCATCATCCATGGAAAGCAAACACTTTTCACTTTCAGGACAATGTTTTGGATTATCTTGTTCATTCAAGTTTCCTTTTGGCATCCCTGCATTCATTTCACATAAATCAGAATCACACCTATTCAAGTGAGTTAAAACCAAACTCTCCAGTTTTTCTTTTTCATGAGAAATAACCTGAATATCAGTTGTGCTAATCTCAGCTTCATGGCCACTGGAAGACTTGTAAGTTAGTTTACTAAATGCATAATGTGTATTCAGCTGGGTAGAGGCATCACTTCCATTAAAGTCCTTTTCTAATGCTAACACAGGTAACGTATTAGCCTTCTCAAAGTTTGGCGATGCTTCGTGAATAGTGTTTTCAGAGTACACAGGGACAAAGGCATCTGTCTTTTGAACGTCTCCTAAAACAAAAGTATTTTCCGTATCTTTTGTAGATTCATTATCAGTATCTAAAACAGAACTGATAATTTGAACTGCATTTTTTTGTTGTAAAACACCTGGCTCTTGATTGGCAACATACGATAAAGACGTATGTTTAGAAACAGATTCAGCATCTGAAGGTGATTGGTTGGGGAAAGAGCAAGGTTGCTGTGAAGGCAGAAAGGATGCCGGATCCTGAGCACAAGAGTTTCCTGGAGGTTCGGTCTGGTGCAAAGATAAAAAATCGGCATTTTCTTTCAAAATTTGGTTTTCAGAATTACAAAAACCCTGAACAGAAGAATCTTGATCAGGTGTATTAGAATTTGGGCAGATAAAGTCTCTGGTGCTTAATGACTCCAGTCTATCAACAGGTATCTCCCAGGATTTATTCTGGATTACACCAACCTGATTAGATGGTTCTAAATGCACAGGACTGTCCATTATAGTGCCCATTAGAGCAGTACTCTTGATGGCATTTATATCTGCTGAAACGTATTTGCTGCTTATAGATCTAGTTGGAGAAGAATGTATGTTAGACACATTTGAAAGGTCTCTTGCAGGCACATTTGAGAATACTTCAGGTTTGGGAGAAAGACAAGTATCTCTTGGCACAGGTAATGAGCTACCTTGATTGCTTTCTTCTGATATTGTTTGGAATTGCTTTGTATGTTCACAAATGACAGATGGCATGCTACATCTTCGAACTTCTACAGTAGGTTTTCCCTCGCTTATAATTAACTTAACATCTTCTACAGAAGATGACCTGAGGTGGGATGCTGGAAGTCTGCTTGCATAAGGTGGTTTAATCCGCTCTGGCAGATCAGTCAGGGTGTCAAATTCCCTTTCGTGAAGGGCAGGAGATTTGGCAATTGGCAAAAAAGGTGACTGAGAAAAGGACATTTGGGATTCTGAGCCCTCTAGCATAAAATCAGAGTCATACTCAACTGGAGGCCTTGGGGTTGTCACTGTGGTATGACAGGAATCTTCGGAACTAGCAACAGAAATCATGGATACAGATCTGGAACTGAGACCTGGCTTTTCACTTTCTGATCTAGGAGACCTGTTTAAACTACTATCTGAAACAAAAGATGATTTCCCTAAATTCACTGTATTTTTGGTGTCAACAGATTGTGATCTGTTACTTACAATATCTTTAGATTGTTTCTCCTTGGTATAGGCATCAGTCAACTCTGAACTCTTTGATCTAGTAAGCTCTTTGTTTTTGGATTCAGCTAGTGTATGTTTTGTTTTTTCTTTATCTTTTACTTTAACTTCTGAACAGTTACGATTTCTCAACCTTTCTTTTTCTTTTTGCTTAATTTTTTCCTTATGTTTTTTGTGCCACTGTTCTATTTCTAGATCTTTAAGGCTTAGCATTCGTTCAAAACTTGTCTGCATTAAATCATCATTCACTAACCTCTTTTCTTTAGGTCGAGTATCTTTTGATGCTGGTGATGACTTAGGTTTAGGTTTATCTGCTTCAGATTTCAATTTGAGTAAACTACTCAGTTGAATTTTATCTTTATGTTTGTCTCGTTCTTTGTATCTATCTATATCTTTATCTTTTTTATCTTTTTCTTTTCCATCTGGAGTTCTCAAAGGTTCATCTTTTGTTTTTTCTTTAAGGGATAAGGATTTTTCATATTGTACTTTACTACTGTCTCCTATACTTGACTTTTTTTCTTCTTGTAAGTGTTTGGAGTTAGTTATATTTATACTTTCTTTATCTTTTGATTTTTCCTTTTTATCTACCTCCCTGTCTTTTTCTTTATTTTTGACTTTTTCTGATTTATTATATTCACTATTATCTGATTTATTTTTTTTCTCCAAGTGCTTTTCTTTACTTTCCATTAGATGCCTCTCTTTTTCAGTTTTTTCTTTGTCATGTTTCCTCTCCATCTTTTCTCTACTTTTCTCTCTGTCATCAGTTTTTTTAATAGTAATATTTTTTATCTTCTCACCTTCTCTATGGCATTTATCTGTGTGATGTGAATATAACTTGTCCTTTTCTTTTATTCTATCAACACAATCACTAAGATCTAATTTGTCTTTTTCTAACTTATGCTCATGTTTTACCTTCTTCTCTTTTTCGAAACTTTTTCTTTCAGCCTTTTCCACGTCCTTTTCTTTAATTTGAAATCGCTTCTCAGATTTTTCTTTACTTTCTTTGATATGCTTTTCTTGTTTTTCAATGTCTATTTCCTTTTCCACTGACTGCAGGCCTATAGATTCCTCACTAGTACTTAGACCCAAAGAACTGAATTCTGCTTCTTTATCTGTGGGTACGTTCTCTCTCTCTTCTTTTAGATCTTTTATTTTTTCTTCCCTAAAAGATTTGTCACTTTCTTTTTTAATCTTTTCTCGTTCTTCTTTAAAGGTCTTCTCTTTTGAGATATGCTTTTCCTTGATTGATTTATCATCTTTCATGTTTTTTTCCAATTTTGATTTTTTCCCTAAGGTTAGAGATTCATGTTCCATATTTACAAAGAGATCTTCATTTTCATCACTTTTAAAAAAATTCTCTTTCCAAAATTCTCTATCAAATTCTACACTCCTCTGCAGTTCTTTAACACCATCCTTATTTTTGTATTTTTCCTTTTCACCTTCAGTTTCTTTCTTATGCTTTTCTTTTTCCTTCTCTTTATGTTTCAGTTTATGTTTTTTTAATGTTTTACCCTCTTTGTCCATTTTTTTCAGTGTACAATCTGAATTTTCAAACGTTGGACTATGATCTTCATCCTTTATTTTGGCATTTGATTTTTCACCAAAGTCTAAGTGGAACTCTTTCTGATGTTTGTTTTTTTCCCTATGCTTACAAGATTTTACACTTGAACTTTCTGGCAAGAATTCAGGTTCTGTATTATCATAACGAACAAGATCAGGCTGTAATGACATTTCAGAACTTCCTGGTGATAAACATGTTTTAGTATGTTCTTGCTTTAGTGGTGTTGACTGTTTTTCACTCAATCCACAAGAATGTTTGGGAGATTTACCAGTGGAAATATGAAACAAATGTAAGGAAGCATCATCTTTTGGGCTAAAAGATTTTCTAAAATTCCCCTCCTCTCTGGTCTTTTCTGAACAATCTAGTGCAGTATTGACTGTCAAGTTTGTTACTCTGGTATTTTCTTTTCCTTCTTTTTCCTGTTTTAGCTCTTGGTTCTCTTTATTTTTATTCTGGTTTTTTAATTTCCTTTTAACTTTGCCTTTCTGTTTGTGTTCACTTGAAACTAAATGCTCTTTTTTGGTTTGTATATCAGAATTTGATGTTTCAGGCACAGAACATGAAGAAGAAATCTTTTTGTTCTGAAGAACTTCTTCATCAGAACTTTCAGTACTTGAATACAAAACTCTTGATGGCTTTTGTTTTTTACTTTTAAATGATTTAGGGTAGAAGGTTTTCTCCTGTTTTGCAAATAAACTATTCTTTTCTGCTTCAGATTCATTCTCTTTTCGTTGTTCTTTCCTAAGAATATGCCTATCATCAATCATCTTATTTATTTCTTCATCATCATCATCTTTGAATTCATACTCATCAAGGGCAGATGGGAGAGGTGCTTTACTGGGAAGTATTTGTTTACTATCACAGATGAGAGAGTCTTTCTCTGTTTCAGAGTCAATGTTTTCATCAACACTAGAAGGATTTACAGACTGAGCCTCTTCAGAATCTAGAATAAAAACAGAAAGTCTGAGGTTGGTCAAATCACAACTGTCAGAAAAATAAGACAATTTTTTTTTCTGAGAGAAAGATACAGCATATACAACAAATATTTCAAACAATTCAAAATAACTTCAAACTTATATATAAGAATGCTGCTATAATGTTGTAGAAGAGCTTTAGAAAATCTCCTTTATGATGAGATCCTTTTGAGAACTCTAAAAGCACACAGAATGTTAAAATCACAACACATAGTACAAAAATATAGTACTACAGTAAACAAAAGAATGCAGATTGCTCTTTGATATATTGATTTTTTTTTTTAAGTTGGAGTCTCACTCTGTCACCCAGACTGGAGTGCAGTGGCCGCTCCTGGCCACTGCAGCCTCAACCTCCTGGGCTCCATCGATCCTTCCGCCTCAGCCTTTCAAGTAGCTGAAACTATAGGCGCATGCTACCACGCCCAGCTAATTTTTGATTTATTGTAGTAGGAAGAGGTCTCACCAAGTTGCCCAGGTGGGTCTCGAACCCGCGGGCTCAGGCAATCCACTCATCTCGGCCTCCCAAAGCGCTGGGATTACAGGTTGAGCCACCGAGCCCGGCCTAATATACTGATTTATTTTCCATTGGACACATACTCAACAGTGGGACTGCTGTATCATATGGTAGCCATATTTGTAGGTTTGGGGGGGATTTCCTTGAGTTGGAGTCCAGGATGGAGTGTAACAGCATGTTCACAGCCATCCCAATGTCGACCTGCCAGGCTCCGGCAATCCTTCCGCCTCAGCCTTCCGAGTAGCCAGAACTACAGGGGCACACTACCACAGTGGCTAATGTTTTCATTTATTGTAGAGATGAGGTCTCATCAAGTTGCCCAGGATGGTCTTGAACCTGTGGGCTCAGGCAATCCCTTCACCTCAGTCTCCCAAACAGCTGAGATTACAGGCTTGCATCACTGCTTCTGGCCTCTATTTGTAGTTTTTAAAGGAATCTCCACATTGTTCTCCATAGTGGCTGTACTATTTACATTCCCACCAACAGTGCAGAAAGGTTTCCCATTCTCCACAACCTTGCCTGTATTCATTGTTGCCTGTCTTTTGCATAAAAGCCATTCTAACTGGGGTGAAAGAAAATCAGTATATTAAAGAGATGTCTGCACTCCCAAGTTTGCTGCAGCACTATTCACAATAGTCAAGCTATGGAATCAACCTAAGTATCCATCAACAGATGAATAAAGAAAGAAAACGTGGTACACATACACAATGGAATATTACTCAGGCATAAAAAGAACGAAATCCTGTCATTTGCAACATGACTGGAACTGGAGGACATTATATTACATGAAATAAGCCAGGCACAGAAAGACAAACGTGCTCTCATTTGTATGTGGGAGCTACAAATAAAAACTAAACTGGGAGTATAGAGTAGAATGATGGTTACCAAAGACTGGGAGGGGTAACAGGAAGTGGTGGGGGATAAAGAGGAGACGGTTAATGGGTACAAAAATATTAATTATATAGAAGGAATAAGATCTACTGTTCAGTAGCACAATAGGGCAACTATAGTTAATAACTTATCAAGTATTTCAAAATAATTGAAAGAGTGGAATTCCTAACACAAAGAAATGATCAAACGTTTGTGGTGATGGACACCCCAGTTAACCAGATTTGATCATTACACTTTGTATGCTTGTATCATATATCATATATATCCCATACATATATACAACTATTACATATCCATAGTAATTAAAAATCAAAAATTAAAAACACTGTAAAGCAAGAAGCAAATATTATATATATACACACACACACACAGAGAGAGCACAACCAGGGGCCTGGATACAGGGGAAACATTAGCTACTAAAATGTTAAGTATCCTTTTCCAGGGGAAGTGAGGACCAGTTGGAGGTCCAAACTTCAGCTGCATGCAGCCTACTTATGTAGTTAATCCTGACTTGTACCTCACATTTTTATAATAAAAACATGTTAAGTAAATTCTGCATATATGTACATTTTGTTCTGGAAGACATTTAACTTGAATAAGATTCTTTGATCCAAAACAGATGAAGAAACGGTTTAATTATGTAAACATCACATTGTTTTATGTGTTTCAGAATATTAGTAAAATTATTAGGGATCACACAATTCCCATTAAGGATAATAACTTAAAAAAAGATGAATGGTATTAATTCTATAAAAAAAAGTTGACTATTTAGAAAAAAAAATCAGAAAAATTAAAAAGAAACATAAACCCCAATTATATAACCAAGAGTTTAACAGATAAATTGAATATGCAATCTGAAAGAGCTGCTGCTCCCTTGTTTAGTTTGCTTATCTATAATTTAGATTTGATACTAATATTTGCTTTAGTACAATGGAAAAAATAATACTCAATTCCTACAAGTTTCAAGGACATCAAAATTCAGTTTTATGAAATTGCATCTAAGCTGTTACATAAGATAGTCAAAGTTGTGAGATTTTTTTTTCATTTTATCTTTTTGAATAAATATAATTTTTGTTCTTTCCAGGGTGGCATCTTTTCTTAGTTTAAATGTTATATATGGGGCCTTTAACTGAAAAGAAAACCCAGGACTCTAAGGGGAAAGAAAACTGAGGCCTGTGACCAAGGGGGAAAAATACTCCAAATTCATTACAATAATGATAATTAAACACTTCATTTGCTAATAATTTAATATTAAAATTACATATTTTAATGTTAATCATTCTCTGATGTAATCTAGTTCAATATTCTCTTCACCTGAAAACACTCAAATTCTAGGGGCATCTGTGAGTATCTACAATGTTCCCGGCACTGTATTAGCATCACTAAGAGATCCCAATCATTTTTTGACATTTGGTACCATTCTAAGACAGTATCATTAAGTGTCAGTGAGTGACACAGTTACTCTGACACATATGGCATAAAAAATAACATTTTTGGAATTATAACTGCTTGTACATATGTTAAAAATACATTTGCAGTTATCAACACTGCAATGCACAGTGTTAAATTGTAAAGCTTTATGTTGCCAAAAAGAACACTTACTTTGAGATCAGTATTTGTTTTGGTTCATGATTAAATGAACAAAAAAATGCACTTATACAACAGCTGCTGTTTTCTCTTGTTATCACCTTATTTATAATTTGGTCAAATAATTCATTTAAATAATATAACTATTTCTATCTATAGCTTTGTCACTTTAGATTATTAGTTTTACTAAAAACTGGGAAGTAGTTTTTCCTTTGTACGAAAGGGAACCCCCCAAGAACTGGAATAATCATTTGGAGGGAGGGCCCCCTGTAGTACACTTGGAATTTGCTCCTTGGGAGCAAACAGTCAATTAAAGTTTTCACCTACAAATATTGAGAAGGTTGCATCACGATTTGTGGAAGAAACGTCCTGAGTTGTAGTAAACAAGTGTCTGATTCTTCCACCATGACGATGCACCTGCTCACACATCACCAAGTGTTCGACAATTTTTGACCAAAAATGGCATGACCCCATACCCCCACCTTCTATTTACCTGATCTCACCCCAAGCGATTTTTTTTCTATTTCCCTGGATGAAAAAAGTCCTCAAAGGGAAATGTTTTGCTGATGTGGAAGAGGTGAAACAAAAATACAACAGAAGCACTAAAAGGCATCAAAATTGATGAGTTCAAAAACTGTTTTTAGCAGTGGAAAAAGCATTTCAATAGGTGTATTGCATCAAACAAGAGAGTACTTTGAAGGTGACTGAGGTTTAAACATGCAAGAATACATATTTAATAAACTCTGGGCTATTTTGGTTCTCCCTTCATATATCCCACAAAACCCTGATACAGTGTCCTATACTTAGAACAAGTCTTTGATAAATATTTATTATTGAGCTCTTCCAGGCACACAGTGCTAGGGACTTGGGGGGCAAGATGAAAAGAACACAGTCCACTGCCTCAGGAGGCAACTACACTCTTAACAGTTATCCAACCTGGTAAATGCTCAAACAGCAGTAGATAACTAGGTCCACAGGCACACAAAGGAAGGAATCTTCTTGGGAGAACTGAAGGAAGGTTTCTCAGACAAGTAGGACTCAGGTGAGGCATGAAGAATGTACAGGAATTTCAGGTAGGATTTAAGAGCATGACAGTAACTTAATATGATCAAGCAGCTCAAATTACAGCATCTATACCATTTCATATATGATTAAAACAGATTGTAATCATTTTGCATTATATTTTCAATACTATTTTAATGACTACATATTACATTGAGTTAATATGTAATTATTTAAACCAACTCTTCCACTAAGAGGACATTCAGGTTGCTCCCAGTTACTTTACACGTATTTAATAATGTAGAAAGAGTTTAGTACATACTACTACCTGGAAATGGGGAGCGGGGGGGAGAGGGAAAGACAGAGAGACAGAGGTACGCATGTGCACACACACAGAGAGGGGGAAGGAGAGGGGACAGGGACGACGAAAGGGGGAGGGAGAGGAAGGCGAGTGAGAGGAAGAGAGACACACAAGGGAAATACAACAAAATGGTATCTGTAGTTAATTCTGAGGAGAGAAATTGATGATTTTTATTTCTTCTTTAGGCCTTTCTGTACTTTCCACTTTCCTAGCATAACAGATATATTACTTTTATCCTTAGAAAAAATATTTTTTAAAAGTTCACTAATAGCTATAAAATGGTACCACTAGTTTGATTCTTGATTATTGGGATGACTTGTTTTCCATATGTTTGTATTTCCTTCTGAGTAACGTCACTTTACAATTTCTTCAGCCTATTTTCTTCTGGTCTTTTTACACCTATACATAACTTCAATTATATGCCTATATATAACTTCGATTATATTACATATATAGTCTTATGTATGTTTTGCTTAACTTTATATCACAATGCTCACCAGTTCTGAATATATATATTAAAGGTAACATGCAAACTCTCTTTTTAAAAAGTTATATATGTATACACTGAGAGATGCATGGTTCGTCATTTGTGCTCCTGATATATCACCTTGATA